GCGGGAGGAATTCCATTATTTAATACCATTTCAAGGTTTATTATTTGCGTAAATGTTTAACCATGTTATTTTCTTTGTTACACTGACAGACTAAGAAACTTCGTAATTTACTGATTTGCTTTAGCTAATAGAGGATATTAAATTCTGAAAGTTAATTTTAATTGAGGTCATCAACCGATCAATGTTAAACTATCATTGAAAATCCGGAAGCACTAGACGGCTGTCTCGTCCTAGTATGGGACTTCTCAGCAGGGCACATCGACGATCTCACACACAGAATTCAAAGCCAGGATCTTTGGTCTCGCACGCCAACGCTTAATTTCTGGACCACTGGAATCTAACTTCAACAATCCACGATGTTGCGCAACCAGTTTAAATTGTCTTCGGTAGGTAAGTGACTCACACCTGACACGGATTAGCCCCACTGGTCATGGCTTCTCACTACAACTCCGAGAATTACTTCTCGAAGCTAGTCACTATTGAGCACATGATTATCAGTATAGGGTTGTGGAGATTGTTGAATTTTAATTGATTTCTGAATTAAGCTTTTTTAATTCAACAGTAACTTTAGAGAAAATAAACTGTAAAATAAGGAAAAACAATCAGGAATATACATTTATAATATTTCAGATGATCTTTTTATTTTTTTACGTAAATAAGTAAAAAAATGCTATTTACAAAAATTCCAAATACTTAAGAATGTCATAAATTATTTTTTTCAATCAATTCCCGAATGGATCATGTATGGCACATACACAATCGAAATGATATTGCAAAGGGATTCCAGATCGAGTTTTTACATCCACTAATTGGTTACGACTATCACGTCTAATTAATCGTGCAAGCTATTCAAAAAAGAAGAAAATGGAAAAATGGTTAGACAATTAGAACCTATTCATACTTAATAGATGTTTTGCTATACAACAACCCTTCTAGGTATTTTTACTTACATCCAGAGGTGAATCAGTAAGCGAAACACTTAGATTTCATTAGTAGGTTCTTAGTTTGGGTCATCCGGTAATATTAATTGGTCTTGTAACAAATAGAAACGCTCAAAGTCAATTGAAATATTTATGACCATGGAAATATTCATTACTTACATATAAGGTGTTTAAGGGTAATGACGCAGCAAAGTTTATGCTGATGATTAATAGGCGTACTTAAAACAATAATTATCATTACACTGTTGAGGAATTTAATGAAATACTGTAACAATGTTAACGTCTATGATTATTTTTTCGCCTCGTGGAATTACATTAAATTGACGAAGGATCTCACAAACCAAATGGAAGACCTAAACGCCACCGTCTGAACGGACAACACCGGACATGACGAAATCATGGTACAAACTGGACTGGGAGAAAAGAACGAGAATGGCGAGAGATTCGCAAGCCTATGTGCATTCAACAAATTGGTTATAGGCGGCACAATATTTCCACACAAACACATACACAAAGATACATGGGTCTCACCGGATCACACTACAGAGAACCAGATCGATTATATTCGCATCAATAAAAGATTCAAAAAGGACAATGGAAGACGTGAAAACCAGGAGAGGAGCACAAATAGATTCAGATAACCACCTGGTTGTGACCAAGATCAAACTGAAGCTAAAGAAACACTGTACAGCTGAAAAAAACAGCAGTACGAAGGTTCAATACAGCCTTCCTACGAGATACTAACAAACTCGACGGATTCAAGATAGCTCTAATCAACAGGTTCCAAGCCTTACAACATCTACTGAAAGAAGAAGAAAATACTATGAAGGACAATTGGTAAGGGATCAAACAAGCGCTAACTTCAACGTGTCAACATGTTATCGACCGCAACAAGCATCACCATATGGAATGCATCTCTACCGAAACTTTGGACAAGATTAAAGAAAGGAAGAACAAGAAGTGAGCAATTAACAACAGACAAACAAGAGCAGAGAAAGTCAAGGTACAAGCTGAGTACACTAAAGCAGACAAGCAATACGTGGAAGAGATAGCAAGGACAGCGGAAAACGTTGCTAGAGAAGGAAATATGAAAGAACTATATGACGCAACGAAGAAACTAGTAGGGAAATAGAGTAGACCAGAGAGACCAGTCAAGGATAAAGAAGGAAAGACAATCACTGAGATTCAAGAAAAGAGGAAAAGATGGGCAGAATACTTCGACGAACTGCTGAATAGACCAGCCCCATTGAATCCACCGAACATCGAAGCAGCACACACAAACCTTCCTATAGATGTCACTCCACCAACGATCGAAGAAGTCAAGATAGCCATCTGACAAATCAAAAATGGGAAGGCGGCAGGACCTGACAATATACCAGCTGAAGCACTGAAGTCAGACATTGAAGTAACTGCAAACATGCTCCACCTTCTATTCAAGAAGATTTGGGAAGAGGAACAAGTGCCAATGGACTGGAAAGAAGGATATCTCATCAAGATACCAAAGAAAGGAGATCTGAGCAAATGTGAGAACTACAGAGGCATCACACTGTTGTCAGTTCCAGGAAAAGTTTTCAACAGAGTGCTGCTGAATCGGATGAGAGACGTAGTAGACGCCTGACTTCGAGATCAACAGGTTGGATTCCGTAAGGATCAGCTGTACACAAACCAAATTGCGACACTACGGATCATCGTTGAACAATCAGTCGAGTGGAATTCGTCATCATACATCAATTTCATTGACTATGAGAAGGCGTTTGACAGTGTGGACAGGGGAACATTATGGAAACTTCTTCAGTACTATGGAGTTCCTGAGAAGATTGTCAACATTACCCGGAACTCATACGACGGACTACAGTGCAAAGTCGCGCATGGAGGACAGCTGACTGATGCGTTTCCAGTAAGGACCAGAGTCAGACAAGGCTGTCTACTCTCCCCATTCCTCTTCATTGTAGTGATTGACTGGATTATGAAGACCTCGACATCTGACGCGAAGCACGGAATACAATCGACACTTGAGAAGCAATTAGACGACTTAGACTTCGCAGATGACTTAGCCCTCCTATCCCATACACATGAACAAACACAGACGAAGACAACTAATGGATCAACAGCCTCTGTATCAATGGGCCTCAACATACACAAAGGAAAAAGCGAGATTCTCAAATACGGCACGGAGAACACCAACCTAATCACACTTGATGGAGCTCTGGAAAATGTGTAATCTTTCACGTACATGGGAAGCATCATCGATGAACAACGAGGCAAGGACATACGGAACTCAAAACAACTCCCAACGAACATCAGAGTCACAATCTTTAATACGAATGTCAAGAAAGTCCTACTGTACGGAGCTGAAACGTGCAGATCTACTACAACCATCATCAAAATAGTACAAGTATTCATAGATAATTGTCTATGCAAGATACTCAATATCCGTTGACCGGATACCATCATCAACAGCCTTCTGTGGGAGAGGAAAAACCAACTTCCAGCTGAAGAGGAAATTAGGAAAAGATGTTGGAAGTGAACCGGACATACATTACGGAAATCATCAAACTGCATCACGAGGAAGGAGCCAGCTTGAAATCCTGAAGGGAAGTGGAAAAGAAGAAGGCCAAAGAACACACTACGTTGGGAAATAGAAGCAGACGTGAAAAGGATGAATGTTAACTGGAAAGAATTTACCAGAACAGGGTCGGATGGAGAGTGCTGGTGGGCGGCTTATGCTCCTCCACGAGTGGTAACAGGCGTACGTAAGTTTCTTAGTGACGGATAAATAGGTAAAAACAATATTTAGCAGATAAAACTCTGATACAAAATACTTGAAGAATTAAGAAATTATCATAACAGTACTACTGAGTTACATTAAACTAGGATTTCTTTCGGATTATGTGTAACATTTTCTATTGTACCTGATCTATAATTCACGTTTACAAAAATTAAAAAAATTCATCAGTTGAGAATGAGCATTGAAATATACTATATTCAATCGAAGTGAAGATAGAACCAGTTAGCCACAAGATCTCCGCTTACCGGCTAGAAAATTGTGCACGGGTAGACAGCCTATAGCAATTATTTATGGTAGCTTTGTATATTTAGTTTAACCATGAGCATAAAACCAGATAACAATAGCTGATAAAGATTACATAATGAACGGATTTTCTACGCTAAATTATAAAACATAAGTAATGCAAAAGAATATGAAGAACACTACGTACCTGACCACTTCTTTCTCCGTTTACAATCATTAAAACTGAATTCATTTCATGCGGTATAATTGTTTGTAAATACTTTATAGGAAGACCTACAGAAAGCATCACATTGAAAAGTAACAAAATATGCTTTGTTTAAAAACTACCTTCGATTATCTGGCCAGATTCTGTTTTACAGCTACATTGATTACCGTCAATAGAAATAATAATTAGCTAGTTGTGAGAAAAAAACGAATACAGTTAAATTTCATGAATATTGAAATGATACCTTTTCTTTATTATATTTTCCACCACAATAATTTTTATCTAAGCATCGAACAATTAATTTCGGTCTTAACCAAGATATACTACCAGATGGTCTATTTGGTTCACATCTACAGAAGCGGAAAAAAACATCCGTATATATATATATATATATATATATATATATATATATATATATATATATTAGGAAGGAAAATAACAATATTTTCGATAGTCTAAGAAAACATTAAAAGACATAATTATGCATAAGCAACTGAGTCGCTAAATCTAAGTAGGTTCGTGAACTTGAGTTCAAGTTCATCGACGGCTAATGATCATAACCATTTTTGTTTATTTATTTAAACACATAAACATTGGTACAAAGAGGAACCAAAAAGATGTGCGCCACATAAATCATTCGACTTGTGTGAGGGCTGTGATAATGCCTTTATGTTCAAACTGAAGCAGGTGGTTTTCCTAGGCCACATCCTGAGCCTTTGACATAAAGGTTTAATCCACAAGGCAATGGAGCATCGTAGGGAGACGCAGTCTCATAGCAGCCTGTGGCTAACAATTGGTTCATACGCCATTTGTTCCTTCAGGATACTGGAGCTCATGTGCAACATTAGTTTGGAATCAGAGTTTTCCAACTCCCTGAGGTGGACTCTCCGTGTCCACCAACCCGGTTAAAGTGCCGGTCATTCGCCTTTCGTCCTCTCAGTTTCGTAAACAACACCCCCACCGCGAGAAAGCAGTGAGCAGGACTTCCTTGGCAGTGGTTTTATGCACGTGGCTATATGAGAGCATTTTGAGAGGGAGAGCTAACTCCCCCCACTCTCGGCAATACCAGGACATTTGGGGGTCAATGATAATAACCAGCTGATTAAACAGCAGCAATCAGTTGATTAAGAACAACACAACACCTGGTAAAAATGTACATCAGCCCAAGTTTCTAAACCTCATGTCACCACAATGAAACGAAGTTCATAAAATGCAAAATAAAAGCAGTCGAAATAATCGTATCGATGATTATTAAACGTTAAAATAAGTTACTAATCAGTTATATTTCACAATATACAACACAACCTCATCACCCTATATAATTTTCATACTATTGTTCTCATAGTCACTTTACGGTTACTATAAGAAACGCACCTGTTAATAAGAAATTATCTTCAGTAAAGTGATATGGAGATTTCTAGTTGTATATTACAAAAACGTCATTTGGATTATGTACAACTCACTACACACAGACTTGCGTATCATGCTATGAATTACATCAATTGTATGAAAGTAGTAATAATATATATTGATATTTAAGTGACCAGGTAGGATTTAGAATCGCTGGAATGATGTCAGAAAATGCTTTTTAGGTTTCCGGAATACATATAATTATATTTAAGTGGTTCATTGTTAACTACAAATTAATCAAGATCTATGAAGTCATTAACTTGTTGATTGAACTATGTTGGTAGGTTTAAAATCTCAGGTTGGAGCCATCGCTATTATCATTGGATATGTTGGATGACATGGTTCAGAATCGATTGCGATGGCGCAGACCCATTTCACTGTCTTCTCAAAGAATAAAACAATGACAAGAAAATTGAACAATAGAATGATAGCTACTCATAAGTAACATAATTATATATATATAATTGTATCTCATAGGAAAAGTATTTTCAGATAACATAGCAGCTAACAAGTTTGTCTTCCTCTCAGAAAAATAAACCAAACTACTGTTCACTTCCAGAATTAAAATTATCGGTAAAAACTATGATATAAGTGTTTAAATTTTTTGCCAGCTGTCTGTAGGTTAAATATAAACCACTGATAGCGAATTTCAAATTCATTCCGTCAAAATCTTTCTTCAACTGGACAGCAGTATCAGGAGCCCCTACAGATGAGTAAAGTGTGGTTCAAAGCCAAGCAAATGAACCCGTATTTCGTTACCAAGCTAAACTGAACTACCAATGAATGGTACACAAGCCGCTATACAACAGTAAAACAAAAATTTTAAACAAGCATGAACTATATGTTTAGCGTCCGCGCGCGAGACCTAAGGTCCTAGGTTGGATTCTCACGATTGGGATAATGGATGATCACTACCAAGGAGTCCCATGCTAGGACGAAACGGCCGTTCAGCACTTCCAGCTAAGATCCGTTCGTGGTTTCAAAGAAATAAACTTATTTGGTTGTTTTACATATGATGTTTCCCAACAAACCAATTAGTCCCTTTTGTCGTCAAATAGTTTTCCTCACCAACAGTAACACTGACCGTGGTTAAAATTTGAATAATCATAATACAATATCAACAAAGATACAAACTAACAAAATTAGTGATTATGTAGAATGTAAATATTACTTTAGTGGTTTATCCTCTCCAGAGATCTTTGACGTTTTACGAATTGAGTCACTATGTGTCGATTGTTCAGATCTAGTCGATTTTGATCTCAACGGGTCAGAGTCGGAATTATGATTGGATTTCAGTGATAACTGTTCTGCTTCACGTGCTTTGTATTCATCAACTTGATTTTGGTCTAAAATTGATATTATTAGAATAGTGTGTACGTTGAGCAATGTTGCATATAAGAGGTTGGGTTATTCACACATTTGCAAAATAATAATCGATAAAGCAGATCAACATTTTGAAAAGCAAAAATTCAAACTGGATAGTAGAAAGCAAAACGTATGATATATTCTAATATAATTGGGCGTATAAATCTATTAATTCACTGTATAATACCGGTGGTACGTATTTTTGCTTCAAATCTTTGAACATCAGTATAGGATTGTGGAGATAGTTAGGTTTTCATTGAGATCACGAACCAACCAATGTTAAACCACCATTGAAAACCTGGAAGCACTGGATGGCCGTTTCGTCCTAGTATGGGACCTCTCAGAAGTGCGCGTCCGCGATCCCGCACATGGGACCTTCGGTCTCGCGCAGACACTCAACTTTTAGACCACTGAGCCAGCATTCAACTGTGTTAATGTTTAACTTCAACCAGTCCACAGTATTGCACGACTATCTTCTATTGTCTTCGGTAGGTGACTGCGTCACATCCGATACGGTTGAACTTCATTGGTCACAGCATCTCACTAAAATGAAATGGCTATCCAGTGCTTCCAGGTTGTCAATAGTGAACTAAAATTGATCGGTTTATGATTTCAAATAAATCTTCAGGTTTGTTGAAGCAATAAAAATAGATCATATATACCTTTATCCAATCAATACAACAAATCGCTATAACTTAGACACTTCGTTCATGAATTTCTATTTCTACATCGTCCTATATTTCACAGAGATAATATCGGTACATCATGACTTTACTTCCTTTTTATAGCCTACATCAGTTATATACAAAGTTCTACTTTAACTCAATATTCATTCCAATTCAAGAATACATTTGAACTAAGCTTCAACTAGCCTGGAATTCCAACAGTAGTGGGGTTAACGAATTTAATGTTTAATATGATTTCGTCGCCGAATACAAATACATGCACTTAACTAGGGGTCTAGCGACTAAATGAAAGTTTAGGTTTGCGATTTACACTAACAAACTAATGGCTGAAAGTTAAGTATTATGACTAATGCGCCGAAACAATCAATGGTGAATTGATTTTTGAACAGAGGACAAGCAAATATGAAATCGTTAATATACAAGAGATTCGAGAAAATTTGTTGAGAACACTTAGATAGTATCACAGTGGCAAATATTTATGTACAAAGCAGTTAAATAAGTGAACTCTTTAGTGATGATTACCATACAGTTTAACCTAATTTATTCAGTGTGACGATGTATTTATTTATATGATGATAATGCAGTACACTTTCAAAAGATTTCATCAATTTGAAACCTATTGAATAAACCAGTAGTGCTAAAATTTTCACATGAAGTTTAATAGGCTGTAAAATGTTGATACTTTTAGAATCTTCATAAGTTCAAGTATGTGAGAAGTTATAGGTGATAGTAGACATTTACACAAATAAATAAATCACAAGCAAGTAATGGTTTTATTTAAATGATATAGTGAGAAAAGATATGAAACTGGATAGTTGAAATACGTAGATGGGTCAGAAATATAAACTTACTTATACAATTCGAGTACGCAGCAAATTCTTTGATAGGAACCAAACGGACAGTGTGTTGAAGTACCGTGACTACTTCTTTCGAAACTTTTAATTTAATAATCACACGACCAGTGTCTCCATCCAGTCCTTCTAACTAAACATTTAAGAAGAAATGGGAATATTGTCTCTCAAAAAAACGAAAAAATGGATTTTTAAGATATTAGAATACATAAGGCTAGCTTTAATAATGATTATATACGTTTTAAATGGACGATCTCGTGGCAAGTAATGTGTGGTATCTTTACATAGTTTGTTCTAGACCAAATAACTGACAAATATGATCATCCTCTAAGGAAAACTTACATAGGTCAAAAATAAGTCGTTTCATCTTAAAGGAAAAACCGTGACTACTTATCATCAGAACCTCTGGAAAGACACGATTATAGGTGCAATTAACTTCCTGAAAAGTATATTCAAACACATTAAATTGAAGAATCTATGGTGAGGAGGAAAAAAGATTAGAAAAGAAATTTCAACAGTGGTTAAATTTAGGAAACTTAGTCCAAAACAAAATAAGAATTTATAAGAATGGTGTGAATGATTTTTATTTACTTATAAGTTGGTCAGTAAGACTTATACAACACATTTCATGGAAGAGTGTGAAAATCAAGGTAATCTCGAGTAGTGGCTGTCACTATTTACCAAAAATGTGAAACACTTTTTTTAAGGGTTCTGGGGAGAAAACTGGGTTATAAGTGGTTTTGAAGACCTAGGAGCGTGAGCACAACTCCAAAAGAAGAACTGTTTGAGGCAGGTTACATATAGCCGTTTTGTGAGTAGTTTTAGATGTGTTACCTCCGTACATTTTAGATCTTATCGTCAGCGATGGAAATCTGTATGAAGATTAATTTATTAAAATATCTAATTCATACCATGTAAGACATCATGGTGACAAATAAATCATTAACATTTTTGATCTATGAATACATTTTAAGTAGATACAAGATTTGTGCAAATTAATTTTACAAACTTTAAATTTCTAATAAACTCATCAAATTAGATGAGGCAGCAAATTAACTGTGAAGATCCATTGCACTATGAATACAGAAACATAATTAAAGTTGTTCACTTATTAATAGATGATACACGTTTTAGGAAACATAAATTTTTAGTGCAAGCACCATTTAATTATTATTATTTAAACACATAAATATTGGCACAATGAAGCACCAGATACATATGCGCCTCACAGATCTCATTTGATTTGTGTGAGGGCTGTGATACTGCCCGTATGTTCAAACCGAAGCAGGTGGTTTTCCTAGGCCACAACCTGAGGCTTTGACCTGAAGGTCTAGTCCACAAGGCAGTGGAGCATCTTAAGGAGATGCGGTCCCATGGTAGTCAGTGACCAACGATTGGTTCATACGCCATTTGTTCCTTCAGGATACTGGAGCCCACGTGCACCATTGGTTTTGAATCAGAGTTTTTCAACTCCTCTAGGTAGACCCACCGTGTCCACCGGTGCGGTTAAAGCGCCGGTCATTCGCTTTTCGTCCTCTAAATTTCGTAAATAACACCCCCGCCACGAGAAGGCAGTGAGTAGGACTTCCCTGGCAGAGGCTATATATTCGCGTGGTCATGTGAGAGCATTTCGAGAGGGAGAGCGGACTCTACTCACTCTCGGCCGTACCAGGGCATTTGGGTGCACAAGCATCATTTACATAGACTAGTTTAATTTTCTTAAGATTATAATCATTTATCGTCAGTTTTACATAAAAAATAAAGAGTGAAACAAAGTAGTTTTTTCTCAAAGGCAAACCAACAACAAATATTAATCAGTTCCAGTATGTACTAAAATGTCTGACATTACTTCTAAGATGGCAATTATAACAGGTGTAATGATCAGTAAAGTAATGGTACTTTTATTCAAACTGGGTTATCTTTACGAAGAAAAATAGTACTATGGGCAAGCAAAAATGTTTGACCATTGGTGTGAGTTTTACTCAGGCATTTTGGATCCAAAAAAGCACCTTATTAAATCAAAACGTAACATTAAATTTCCTGAGGATGACTTTATTTCCTTTAATTAAGAAATTGAAAAATATATAGACAACCTAGTATCTGAGATTACTGTTCATTAATTCAAGTAATTATGTCCTACATCGATCATGGTGAATAGAAAACCCGATAGTAGAAAAAGCAAGAATATAAGCAATAACATCTATACTAATGAATAAAATACAGGGAAAGGATAAAAGGAAGAAGTTAAAACCTGGATTAAGAAATTCCAGATGTAAGAAAAATGGAGTGAATGCACGTGTACTCCAAAGGTTGATTTTTGAGCCATCACTTCTAACTATTGTGAATAAATTATCCAAGAAGCGTATGTGGCTAAGACCAACAGCCAGACTTTAAGTATTAATTTAGCTGGTTACCTTGAAGCTTCTTAAATCATACTCCCACTTAACGTAAAAAAAACACGCCGACGTAAACGGTAGTGTTTTCCGAGGATATGTTCATGTAGTATTTTCCAATTGCTCCGAAAACTTGAGATTTCTCAGCGTTGGCATTTTTCCAGTCTAGCTAACATATTACCAGAGGAATGAAACTGCATGAAGTTTTATGTGACTTTAAATTCTGTTCTGTAATTTCACACCATTTAAAGGTGTGTGCACCAATCTTGATTTCTGTGAAATTAAAAATCTATGGAACTAAGGTTCAAATAGATTTACCAGCCCATATTTTGCCACTCAAATCACAGGAAATGTAAATGGAAAAAAATGTACGAAAGTAAACTTTCGAACTATCAAGGCCCATCACAAACTAATTTGTACTTTAGGTATCCATACGAACAAACGAACGAAACTACGTGTGATCAAATATAAAAACAAACCATTCAAGCTAACTTGAGCTACAACGGTACGAACAGAGTAAATAAGTAGAATAGAAAACCGAGACAAAAATCGACAGGAAACCGACAAAGGACAGACAAGTATATATTAACATGAAGTCTGTAGCTTACGAATTTAGACAATAATATATAGCCGCCGTTTTCGAGTGTTTTGCCCATATCAACAAGGAAAACCAATAACCACCAACTTCCAAAATCTAGAGAACCTAAACCAGAAAGTCTATATCTGCGACAGGGATCTAGGAGGGAGTTGACCTCTGGGGAATCATAGAGTATATCTATAATAACTTCGAACCGAAATGATGACCCAATATTCCTGATAAACAATGGGTGAAAGCATATCTGATGATAAACATACATAAGCTCTTGTAAGATAATATGAATTAAGACAAGAAGTGTTTAAGAATGTAAGCTACGTTTAGGTAAGACACAGCGATCGGGAACTCTATATATTATGATCTTCAGTTCTGTCGAACCTAGGGCGAGTTATAAATTTATTATTTATTTGAACACATAAATATTGGTACAAGAGGGTACCAAATAGATATGCACCACACAAAAATTTGTCGTTTCATTTGATTTGTGTGAGGGCTGTGATAATGCCTTTATGTTCAAACCGAAGCAGGTGGTTTTCCTAGACCACATCCTGAGCCTTTGACATAAAGGTTTAATCCACAAGGCAATGGAGCATCGTAGGGAGACGCAGTCTCATGGTAGCCGGTGGCCAACAATTGGTTCATACGCCATTTGTTCCTTCAGGATACTGGAGCTCATGTGCAACATTAGTTTGGAATCAGAGTTTTCCAACTCCCTGAGGTGGACTCTCCGTGTCCACCAACCCGGTTAAAGTGCCGGTCATTCGCCTTTCGTCCTCTCAGTTTCGTAAACAACACCCCCACCGCGAGAAAGCAGTGAGCAGGACTTCCTTGGCAGTGGTTGTATGCACGTGGCCATATGAGAGCATTTTGAGAGGGAGAGCTAACTCCCCCCACTCTCGGCCATACCAGGGTATTCGGGGGTCATTAGGATTGTAAGCAATCACGATACATGCCTGCTACATGTTGAGACTAACTGCTCTACAGCTAAAATGACTGCAAGGATGAAAATGTGTTTAGCTTTTTATAATCCGACACTCAAGTTGTGGATTATAACTGATAACATTTTGTAAGTGGCCTTTACATTAATCACACTGAAGTAGATGTATGAGGGGATGCAACTAATGAGTATCCATGTGTACTACAGCTATAAGATTCTACAAAACTGTCGAGTCAGTTTGAGGACGAGACTATAATCTATGGACGACCTTTGAAAGAATCTCGGGTGACCTTGAGAAACATTAGCTAATCAAGAAACAGTTTGTATAGAGTAAAATTATATTATACAAAACCAAAGAACTAGAGTGGATACACTTCTTCTACATAGTTCAGAAACTTGTCAAGGTTAGAAAAAGTTTCAAAGGTTCTAGAGTCGCAATGCATAAGGCAAAGGAACTTACCCATATGGCTCCATATTAGTCGGTCTCTGGAGACATGATAAGGTCGCGAAACCTTTCTCAGCCTCGAACACATAGCTTCAATATCGTTTGTGTGTACTCCGGTTGTGTAAGTTTGTCATTTTTATTACGCATGTATCCCTACAATACTCATACCACTGAACAGCCGAAGCTTCAGTAACATCGGCGAATATTTCGGCTAATGTTACGGGTGCTTTTATTATACAGTTTGCGGAAATTAATTAAATTTGCTTTATTATCAATCTGGATCGAGCGAAAAAAGTTCCTATCCTAGGAGACCTCTTCCAACATATAGTACATCGAAAAACAACATCATAGTAGTCTGCACAAGGTCTACAAGTCATTTGATTACCGTAATTACAAATAAAGGAACTTTTCAGCAGTCCCATTTATTGTAGCCGCTTAATCATCACGTCTTATCTGAAATCCTCAGTGAATCATACGTACATGAGCGCCAGGTGCTAAAGTTGATGTCATGACCTTGAAATCCCTCGAACGCTTATGATTGGTTCGTCTATAGATTATGGTCTCGTCGAGTTTGAAACTTCTGCTTTCGAACTTGAGATCTAACTACATCTACTGATTCATGAAGACTGGAAGCTGAGTTATCTAAGTACATCGAAATGACCGCAAAATAAGATTGATAACTACACTTGGATCCTGCCCGGAGGTTTATGGCATTATATAAGGTAGCAAATACCATTGTATTGATGAAACTATTCTCACTATTAGTATAAGATACAGCTGAAATAAGCCACAGGTCATTTTTAGTTATAATTTTCACAAGAATCAGCTAAACTTATCAACTGTGAACAACGTTGTTACACTGTGCTTTGAGATGTTTGTTTTACAGAAGCAACTACTTATTCAAAAGTACAACTATTAAAGTGAACTTATGTAACTGAGATTCAGCACGCAAAAACCCACAATCTGACGAAATAACATATATCAGAGAAAGATTTTTTCACTAACCGTGCCATAAAGACCCTTGTTCTTTCCTAATAAAATCTGGCAACGCGCTCCGGGATTCCATGTCAGTTTTTCTACTTTAGATTTCAGCAATTCTTGTTTAGCATCTTGAACTGCAGTTGGGTTTGCGCCTAGCCCGAGTCCCTTTGGTCGCTGAGGTAGTACAACCTCTCTATACGGTAATTTACTAAGGAACAGAAAGTACTTCTTAGAGCTGTCAAGAGATTTTGGGTCAAAACCCATTCCAGCCAAGAGAGCTACACCAAACTTTTCGATAGGGATAGCATCATAGTTTGCATTCTCAGTCTAAGTGCAAGTAAAATATTGAAAAATCGTACTTCCTCGGCGGTTTCAGAACTATTGGCAGGTATTTTAAGATCATAATTTACATGAAAATTGTGTGAACTACTTGAAAATGCTTGACTCTCTAGATAATTAAGGATACTGAGAAAGACAATACCTTCTTTAATTTCTTGCAAAGCCTGAAGTGTAAGAGGGTCCAGGGATTCAGCTGGCAAGAAATTCTTTTTCATTCGCTCGTGGAAGCTGCTTTTACTGCGCTTCAACGGTATGATGAGTTCCTCATCTTTTTTTGCAGTTGAACAGCTAAAATGATAAACTAACAACACACATATACATGCATTATTTTATCTTCAATCGATGTGATGAATTCCTTATTGCCTTTAATGATGTTTTCGCCATTATTTGTATCCAAAGATGTAACTTTAGGGTTACGAATCAATTGCTTTCTGCGTTGAAGAAATGAGAAGGCAAGCTTGGGCTTCAAGTCACTCATATTACCCTCCAAGGACATCTACAGATTAAAACATCATTAGAGGTCTTTACGCGCCTGCAGTCAAAGTAACCTTATTGTTTGGTTTTAATAGTTACAAGGAAATCATCGGCCATTTCGGAGTCAGTTTACTTTCAGTTTGGAAAGGACTGATGAGTAAGGTTGTGGTTAGCCATGTAGATAGGAGCTTGCAGTTGACATTAGATATCAAGAACCCTGAACTCAGTTAGTGACCGTCGTGAGGGTGTCTTAATATATTTCCAGTCCTATAGGATCAGAAAAAGGAGTCCATGTCGAATTCAAAATTATTAATATAAAGACTATAACTGGGTTACCTCATCAACTTTTACTATGCTTGGAAGACATAGCGTACTGTGAGGTGACAAAAAACTGATTATCTTTCTTGTAATGAATTATATGAGTATATGGAGAAATACGGAATGAGGATGGAGTGTAAGCCAATATGGGATCTTGTGGATCTTTTGAACTCCCTCTGTGGGACTGCGTCTAGTTTGTGCTGTTTCAAGGTATTAGGCATTAAATGTTTGTTAGGATAAGTGTATCAATCTTCTCATATATAATACCGGGAACAAAGTACATCTACCGTAGTTGGCTTAGACAACTTTGCTTAGGTTTTGATTACGTACTCACATCTAAGGAGGTCTACTTTTAGTTGATAAGTTCCTAGACAGAAACATCTATATTAAACTGGTAAAAAGCACACTAAGAAGTTTTTCTCTTATCAATACTCTTATCAGGTGAGGTGATCTCACCTTTGGTACAGTTGAGAAAATATCATATCCGTCAGAAAAGCACCTCGATCTGCAAGGTCATCGAAAAGGGAATATTAGAAATCAAAAGAGACGGGGAAAGCTTGAAAGGGGTCGCTTTTAGATTCACAAATAATAATTCCCTGGTACCGGTGAATAGATTACGCAAGAGCGCTTCCTGGTTGAATTGTGATACCAAAAGTCTCTTACACGCAATTAGGAAAGACTAAGTTGATGGAAATCCTACTGACATAAAAAGGAAGCAACTTGGACGTAACGAATTTCCGACGTACTGGCATTGTAAGCTGAATTACTGTGCAGGCGTAGTTCCGAAAAATACCATATTAATTTTGCAGAAAAATTGTAGATACGCAACAAAATGGGTGATAGGCATAAAGCACTTGTACTCACGGAAACTAGCTTCCAGAATTCTGTTTGTTCTCGGTTAACTACAGAAGAGTGAGGAGGAGTCCACGAACTCCTCTTCACTAGTTTAAAGGAATGCTGATATTAAATGACAAGGTAAAATTAAATTCATCTACTTTCGATGCCCAGATATATGCACAGTCAATTTATATGCTACCCATATCGGAAGGGGGGATTTTTAACAGTGATATTGAAGTTTGCACGTTACTACACTTTAATTTATCAGAGTCAACACCCAGAGTCTGCCAGGAAACTGTGTGGTTGTTGTGTAGGTCGGCACTAAATTAATTTATCCTTGGTACTAGAATAATGAATATAATCCTGAACTTGTAGATTAACCGTAATGAGACTATCTAATTTGTAAGGCCATGCATTGAAGTCGCGTCACCGTCTATACTGACTCCTACGTGATAGTTGCCAATATGCTGTTTAGGACTTCTGCAGAACACATTTAGGCTGGGGATTGATTAACATATTTAATGTATAAAGAAATAAGTTGCATAGAGTGACCACGCCTACATGGTTGAGCCGTACCATACCGACTGAGTCGTTAGACTTCACCATCACGGACCCTTTCTAAGTGTTAAGTGCTGAAGGTAAATCTTCTGTCATCGTATGTTTGGTTTCAATGATCGTGTGGTTGGGGACCAATACCATAACAGAACCATTAAAGGACCCTTCTCGTTCCCGATTTCATAGATTGTCCTCCCACAGATAGGTTCACTGACATTCGTTCATACACCTGGCATTCATATCTGGAGACCAATAGAATGTTAAGAGGACCCATTTTAACTGTAAAAAGATTTCGCGACACTGAGCGTATGAACGGGAAACGATGTATCTAAATGCCACGTTGTGATCAGCCATTCTCTTGTGACTGAGTAACCTATATCCTCTGAAGTTAGCCACTCACAAGTTTCCCTACAGAGCGTCTAGACGCCAGCACACACTGCACTGGGAATCCCACTCAAGCATCTGCGGATTCCCACCTGAACAATGACTATATGGTGCTATCATCTCAGAGCTTTTTATAACACTGTTTAAAACGTGCTATCGGTCTCACCCAGAAATGCACAACGTTTTTGAATCCCCCATTCTTAAAGGAGACAAATATCCCTTGGAATAGTCACAGTGATGGGGAACAAAGTGGATTAAAGGGCCTAGAGAAAAATCCTATCAGGAAGGGCTTTACTGCTCGGGACTATTTTTTTTAGAATGCAAGAAACTAAGAGGGAATCATGGAATAACGCACAATATATCAAGCAACATATGTTACCCTAACAAAAGGACCCTTCCGAAACTCTATGTCTTGACCAAAGAAGTTATCCGTGTCTGATTGCACATTAGAGGATTAGGATTAGGACTGAACATTTTCTCACTTCTTATTGACTTTTTCTCTAACTCTCTTTCAGCTAACGTGACCATAGTCTTTTAAATAGAAGCCTCAAGAGGCGAATAGACCATAATTTACGCACTCAGTGCTTTTGATCTCTCTCAGGAAACGGAGCTTAATCCTATTCAGTAGCAGGAAGAGACATTTTCACAATTATTTACCTCGTTGTTTCATGTTCCTTAGCTTGTCTGTTGCCACTTTTACATGATAGTTATAAATAGCCCAATACCTGAAACTTTCCAATTGGTATTCTAGTAGTCTAATAGCCACTGCTCGTTTATTTTTCTCCTTTGAAAGTAATCTTACATACTTTCTACAGCAACAGAACTATACGAAAACCATAAACAACAGCAGATAATAAGCCTAGGAGTGACGTGCGCAACATAGGTCATTCGACTTAAGTACGGAAAACAAGTCTCTTACTAAGTAATCAGAATCACTTTCCGACCCCAATACCTGCTCCTTGGAAGACCGGTAAGGGAAAAGAGAATAGATTGAAAAAGCATCCTTATCGTCCGGTAAAGCAGAAATGATGAGAGGATCTCATTCTCGTCGGCAGTTACAGGCAGCGACGTTGTATTCGAATACAATTTCCATTGTAGTTAGGACCACCGTCTCTGTGAACTGTGGTACCTTGAAATAATACAAGTTTACGTTTGGTTTTCTGGTGCTCATGCTCCCAGTTTAGTGAAAATATAATGTGGGATCAACTATACCAGTCCCCACCCCCGTGTATTCAACACAAGGATAGCCTGGGACGCTATCGTGAGAGCCACAATTCGAGAGAATATGCCAGTGAAATTGACGATTGACTGTAAGAAGCAGTGGATAAACATTAACGGGGAAAATAGCAACAAAACAGCTTTTAAGACGCCGAAAAGAAGAGCATAGATGTCAAACGAAACTATCTGATCTTATTTAGTGTTCCAGTGTTCAGGGATAGCTTACTAAAAAGTATGGGGGTCACCAAAGAAACATAAACCTCTCGTTCAGGGATGCGTCACAAATGAGGACTTAGATTAGGGTATAAATTCTGTGAAACCGACTACACCAACTAGGATTATTTTCACCGAGCTAAAGGAGGGAATGAGGCGACTTGATTATGGCTAACTGCACACCAAGCACTCATGACCATTATCTTTTCTCTCTCTACACTCCGAGTTATAACCCTTCACGCTGTGATAAACCAATTTCCTCACCGGTGATGTGACAAATCCTGTTCATTTCAATTCCATTACCAAAGAACAAAGGGACTCACTTTTATCCAAAAATATTACTCCCTGATTACCTATCACAACCACTGGGGTTAGCGCAGCAGAGTGGGAAGACTACTCGAATTGGATGATATCAGTGACCTGGAACCATACCGCGAAATCAGGAAGCGAGCGCAAAGAAATCAATTGATTTATACAAGCATATTACACAGACATTGGATATTGGAGTGTTGTCATAGTCACTAGTTTCTAATGAGCGGCCCAGTCGACATAAAACATTGCATCAAAATTTTTGTTAATCTTCTGAAGTCTGTTGGATTCTCAGAACTAGAAGCAGAAAGTGTCCGGTTGGCTAAGTTTGATGACATACGTGCAGTGCATTCGATCAAGCGGCTTGTATTTGAAATTCTATATTTTATCAAATATGGGTGTGTGGATGAACTGTGTTCTGAGGGTTTTGAAAAGTTTTCGGACAATGAAATCCATCAGTTTATATTCCAAAGTTTATTGAAATATGGATTTCCTTTAATACGTAGAAATGTTGATGAGAACTTCACATCAAGACAATTGCTTTTGGGATCTATTTGGATCCTAGTTTCTTTTGATGTTCTACCGAAAATTGAACAAATTTTGACTTCTACTGCAGTCAGAATGATAAAGGAAAAAGTCTTTCATCAAAATGAACCGATCTTCACCACTTGTCCTGGAAGTAATATGTCTATATCTCGACTCATTTGGTTACTCGGTCGTTTGCGCATTCATTTGAAAAATTTGTACCACTTGAGAGGTGAGACCATGAGACAATTTCTTAAATTCCCTATGGAAGAAACGAAAACGCTCCCACCTTCTCACTGTTGGGTTCTCCTGGATTCGAATGCTTTCCGTCAGCACATTCACAACGTACAGGAGAGTGTTTCAAAATTACATTTATTATTGTCCTGGAGAGAAGTAAACCATAGATTTTGGCAATGGATTCGGAGTATTTTAATTGTTCATGAAAAGAATTTGGCTGAGACCCTTCCAAATAAATGGGTATCGAACTCTGCTTGTGAATTTATTGAGCTTGTTACAAGACTATGTAACTCTATGAGTCATTTTAAAGTCGAATACTCGCATCTTCTAGATGATGCTAAGTCAGGTCCTTGTAAAAACTTCACATTAAGTGAGAATTTTAATTCTACTGAGGATATTTTATCATGTTTACACAAAGAATTGCTTATTCTCACAGATCTTTTAATGTGTGAAAACTTTCCCATTGATACTGGATTAATGCCATATGATTTTCATTATAACATTGTGAATGATGAAGAAAAACTTTCTGAAAAGCAAAACAAGTCTGGTTTAAACTTCACTTTGGAAAATGAATGTGCTAAATTAAAGTTATTAGTAGATAAATTGAAAACAGAGTATGAAGGCGTCAAATACAATTTATCTCAAGAATTGCAAAAAGCAGGTGCAGATATTTTACCTGGGGCCGTTTTTTTATATAATAACTGATTATTGAAACTTTCAAGATGCCTTTGCTGCTCTTATTACCTTGTAATCATGTCCAAAGTTGTTAACCAATACAATTTGTAAATATACTAGTTCTGTTACTTGTATTCATTTTTGAGACACACTTATTGTCTGCTATCAATGACAAATCTGATGAGTTCAATCGTGTTTTGATCTTTGGTTACTATCTGTATTGTTTAACTCCTATTTTCATGAATTTATCTTAAATTTAAGTTTTATCATAAATTAAATTCTGGCTACTAGTATTTACATTTTATAGTTCGGAATATTTGATCGGCGTAACTGAACCAGGTAATATCACCAAATATTCTAGTATGAAGTACTTCCTCCTGAATATTAACCATCTTATGTGGTGGCGACCTTATAGTTTTATTATTTTACATGTTGAGTCTATTTGATTAGACTCTATTAGCATATATTCTGGCAGTTCTGAGTTCCCAAATGATCACAAAACCTAAAAATTATTGTTGTTGACGAAGATTTTCCCCAAAATCGTCCCAGTTTTCTGAAGATAAGGTATTACAGGATAGGTATTAAGTCGGTGAGTATACGGCTTTGGTTTATCTACTTTAGGTCAATACCATCTCGTCTAGAATTTGATGCGATGAACTTTGAACTTCTTGTTTTCATGTAAAAAACAATTTCAGAATAAACCGGTGAATTAATTTTGAGAGTAGGAGATATCTCAGCGTTTGGTCAATGAACTTACCAGTTACTCAAAAATTAGTTAGATAAATAACGGTGTCTTGGTCGGTGGACTAATAATACGAGGATGAACGGTCAGGAGTTAATACGTCAGTGAATAAGTTTTATTATCTCATGAGTCGTTGAGAAGAAAGCAAAAAACTCTATTGTTACAATTACTCAATATTTTTTGTTCCATACCGTGTTTTTTGTTTACACTATAGTGAAATGACCTTGCTGATTCCAAACGAAGCATGTGAAGTGGAAAACCATAAGCCAGATATATTTATCGTGATTTATACGATACTTTTCCACGAATTGGCACTTCTCCCCTCGATGCTCTCTATCTGTTCTTTGGGAAAGACTAATACCCTAAAGACCACAATGATGATTCATCTGTTTATCACTTATTAGATTTTACGTTGTGGCAAATGTCCTATTATCTGGTTCTTCTCTGTATATCAGTGTCATATTATTTCCACTGAATGCTAGTGGTAGTGTACATAAAAGAGTGATCGATTTTACAGTGGTACTGAATATTAATATAGCAGGGCTTGACCCTACGTGGATTAGTAATATATCCAGTTTTGTAATCATATCTATGTTTCTCTTTGGGATAAGTTCGTCTTTTTCTATAGAAATTATTAAAACTTTCAGAGTTATACAGCTATATGCCTGTATTCCTCTAACTTTTATGGGGATATTTTCTAGCAGAGCTAAACAAAATTAGTATCATAGAGATGCTGGTCGCTAGATAACTGCCACCAGTAGTCTGTATTTTCTTAAACAAATAGTAGTTTCCTCGTTCTAAAAGTTACTGGATGATTAACAATCCCTAAAATCATAAAAAAATAGTCAAGAGCTCCTTACATTCCTTGTTTCTAGAATGTTGTGATGAAAAAAATTGTTCTAGTTAGAAGTAATGTACCCAACTAGTTGTATTGTTAATGAAAATTTAGCAGCTAGTTGAAACTTGCTAGGGGTCTTACAATAGTGCTACTCAATATCAGAAAAAGTATACTAAAATATCTTGTAATATAAAGAAGTGAGATATATAATTACAAACCTGAACTTATCGGATGTTTGTACTAGTTTACAAAGCATCATCATATACTAGTGTGATGCGGAATCATCATGATAATAATAGTAGTAGAATCCTATATCATCCAGTTAGGACCACAAATATGTTTTCCACTTTACAGTAACTAATGTACAGATTCCTATTCAATTGTTCTGCTCAACTCGTTTACTAGATATAGATTCTTTCATTCGCCTTTAGACCGTATTCTAAGTGTGAAGTACAGTGACAATACTCGGTTACCTATATCAAAGTAATTAAAGCTACATTCAAACCTGGAACTCATTGGTTAAAAGCTGAATGCCCCTAACAATGAGCTGTTGTTTTAAAACAATAAGTCTCCCATACTGCACAAATAAACCACCTAATTCCACCATTGGATTTTTGCACGCTCAATATGCTACGAAATTTCTTCCTCTAAGCTTTCAGTCAGAACGATAAAAAGCAAGCGGTCAAAATGAAATTATTTCAATATTTCTCCTTGTGTTGTAAACTAAGATTTTAAAGAATAGCTATTCGGGTTCCCGATTCCTAGAGAATGATTTTGTACCATTCAGGGACTCTAAACCAGTTGTTCGTGCAACTTGATAGTAGCAGTAGGAGTAATAGCAACAATAATAATGAACCCGTTTAACTGCTACTGTGTATATTTGTAATTGAACGATCAATATTGTTCCATTAAGTATGATAGATACAATTTATACGAAACATTTTAACATGAAATCAGTTAGTAATGTTTGCTTGATGGCTGAGTTTTGATATATTCAAAACAGTTATTGATATCTTTCGCACCAATCAAAATATGGAAATTTTAACTGACAACAAGTAAAACATTTATACGTCACACTAATTACTCTTAACACTGTCCAACAACAAAAATTAAACGATTTTTCATGTTCTGGTATTTATTTTGAGATTGTTTAGTTTGTTTTAGAAAACCGATTTCTACTTCACGTGATTTTTCTACTAAAATTCGCAACTGACTTCATCTTAGGTGTTAATAACAGTGGCTTGTTACTTAATATTTTTACTTCATAAATATTCCAGAATAATGTGTCGTTAAGAATGAAGGAATCTGTTGGGTTTCAGTATATTGATCGTGATCGGTTACTTTTGGCTGTTCAAGTAGCGAAAAGGGATGTTAGATGCTTATCATCCAGCAAAATTGAAGACGATGGATACATTCCTGAAACGGCTCAAAGTTTCAACAACAATTCCCTTTTATCTCCAGTTGACAATCGTCTTGTTCAAAAACCAACTCAAGTAATGTTCAACTAGAGAAACCGTTTTTCGATTCATAATCTTCATGTCTGAATAAATTTTCTTGATCACAGCCTAAAGTATAATGAAGTGTAGCATATATGTTGACCAAACCACGTACTGTATTCATCAATCACTAAATAATAATCTCTGTTATATTACTTTGTTTTTAGGTCGGATAGAGTTGCATCGAATTAGTTTCAAATATATTATTTAAACTAGGTGGACTGATATTTCACTAGTTTTTATTTACCATTAAAGGCAATTAGTAGGAAGTCTTTCATCTAGGATTAATTTTTTCGCTCATTAGAGGTAAGCGTTTATAACTCAGAGGCTGCACTAGAAATTGACCGAAAGAATTTGACTAGCGCAGAAGAATAAACAACCTATTACATCTTGTTAAGTATTGAGGGTTATGAAATTTGGACTCAGGGTTCCTGTAGTAACATGTCACCATCCAAGTTTATTTTTCTACAAGCCAACTTTTTGAAGTCAGTTTAAATGTCATTTCTCGTGCACGTTCGATTCTTAGTTGAAGTCTTTTAGTAGTCCTCTTTAGGCTGACTTCAAAAGTCTTCCTATAAAACAGTCAGAGATAAACAACTTTTGTTACAAATATTCCAAAATTTTGAATAATGTTTTTCAAATCTTCACTAGAGCGGTTGTATGAATAAGCATCCATTCATGGGTAGGTTAGATTGAGTTATCTTGTTAGTATTATGCATTTAAGTTTGCACGATTGTTGTAAAAGACTACTGAAAAGTTAGGTTATCTCCTGATCCGTTGATGAAAAGCAATATGATGATTTCAGTAGATCAACCAATAGCTTTGAGTACTCTAACTTTTTAAACCATAGTACTATACAAAATCTTTATACAGGAATTGATGAGTGCAGATGTATATTGTTGAAGTTCACGTGCAGATCATCTGTCTTGATAATATGACATTTTTTACTGGAGTGAATAATACTCAGATCATTACTGGTACCTAACTGTCAACTATTGTATATATTTTTGAGGATTAAATTTTTAAAAAATTTTAATACCATCATTTCAACTAGGTTATTAGAAGTACTGATCAGAAGTATAAATCAATTTTGAGTAAACCTAGAATACTTCCCTCAAGAAATGACTTCTATCAGACTACACGCAAACTTGCAGCTAATACACAATATCAAACACTTGACGACAAAGCGCCAGCTTGTAGTGACTCTCCTCCAATACGGGATACAGATACCTGGACTCCGAATCGCAAACATGCTCTTCATGAGCCAACTGAAAAGCAGCTCAGGAATTCTCAGGTATATTCCCTAACTTTATACTGCAATTATCAACGGAAAAGCTTTTTAGTAGCTACTACATTATAACAGTTGTTTTTATAACAGCAATAACTTAATATTCAATATTTATGAACTAAAACACGAAAAAGTCTTTTTAAAGTTGTAGTTTTGAAGGAAAAATGACAAAATATAAGTCCATTCAGTTGAATTAATGTTACTTTTTATGTCCAAATTGCTGAACTTTTTCTTCCTAATCAATTTGCTGTTGAAATATAACTAAATAGTGAATACTATTCCGTTGCTTTACTGTAACACTGCAGAAGTCTGATAAACATTCTAGTAAATGAAATAAATGATAACACTACAGAATCAATATTTTTCTTCAAGTAAATAAGAGTTGATCTGAGAATCAGATGGTAGTTTTATTGCTTAAGTATTGGCTTCCCCAGCCTCGTACTTGGATAGATGGATTTTGGGGTTTAATTGTTTAAACCACGCCGCTTATTATTTTTTAATGTTAGTTAGGTTTGTAAAACCTTGTTTATTTTTTACTAATTATTCATCCTGATGTAAGAGTGCGCTACAAAAGGACCTAAGATGTACCCGATATAAACAGTTTTGATAGGAAAATAAAATAAAATTGCAACAACAAAATAAATAATATATATTCACTTGGTATTATTTATTTGTATCTTCCCATTGTTATTTAGGACTGCAATTGATCAGCCTCTTGTTGGCATATGTGCATCCTGTGCGGACTGCCTTGATATTACCTGAAGTCACAAGCACAGGATGCACATATACCAACAAGAGACTGATCAATTGCAGTTCTAAATAACAATGAGAAGATACAAGTAAACAACACCAAGTGAATATAACTTCACCCTATTGCACAAGCAGGTGGCTATCAGGACTCAGTAGCTAAGTGGATAACGTGATGGTGTTTGAAGTGAACGGTACTGGGTTCGGGTCCCAGAGTGAACATCAACTCTGAGATGCAGGTTCATCCGGCTGACGAGTCTAAAATAGAACGAAATGCGCGTCCTGGATTCCACTGCTAGCCACTATACATCACTGCTTATAAAATATAAAGAAAATAGTTCAAATAAGAGCGAAACTAAAGGGAATTCTGTTTTTCTTAAAGTACATCCTACTATTTACAAAGTATGTAATAATCTACTGTAGGATTATCTCTTTCTTCAATTTCGAACCATGTTTGATAAATTGTTCAGGTCATTATGTTGTGCATTATTTAGAATCCCCATTAAGAAGTGATAATAAACTATTAGTATATTGTCATGTCTTAATACTTTCTTCATTTATTCTTAGTGTCAGAAGATACTACTAGTATGATAACTATTGGGACGGCATTCTTTATATTTATACATGTCACCAAACTTGCAAATGAAAAACGATATCATGCAACCCTACATAACCATGTTACTGGTTTGAAACAATCGACAGATGCGGTTGTATGCTGTCATTCCACCTGGATGTTCTTGTATAAAGGTTTCCTACAGAGGAGTTTTGCTCATCGCATTTGCCTAGCTGAGACATTTTCACAAAATAAAAAGACTGAAATCTGGTCGATAATTCAGAAAGTTTATCACGACCAGTTTTAAGACCTTGATTTTCAAAGTACTTCTTTTTAACCCCAGTATTCCGAAAGAACGATTATTGCATGGTGTTGGGATGACCCTGCATTTTTCTCGCAAGCGACATGAAAAGCTCAGGGGTCATCAAGGAGCATTTCAACCAATCAGCGATTAATTAGAAGTTATGTGAAGTTATGTTACTAAAATAACGAAAATGGAAAAGTCACGTGTGGAGATCCTGATTGTCTGGTTGATACACTGCTACTATGTTTAGCAGTATTCTAGAACTTTCAGTAAAACTCCAGGACTCTTAAATTACTATAAAATCCCTATATTTTCTGTACATAAATGAACCTTGCAGTAAAGTGTTTCGCTGATACTCGTGTCTTCTCTCTGGTCTTCAAGTCGCTGAGTAGTGCTAGCCCTGGGGTTATCCGAATAGCTTGGGATCTGAATATAGCGTTCAACCTACAAGACGTAACACATGATCACTAGCCACCCTGGGAATACGTCTTTTGTAGTTCCTCAACTACATTCTACATTAAAAAGGTTGTAGATGTCAGCCTCCTGAAAAAACACCTGTGTTGGCCTGAGTACTTTAGCGGTATCATAGCCCTTAAATAAACATGACGAATGAAATTAAAGAATATATATAACCGGTCACTCGATTTTTAAAATTTTCTATTTTGTTAACTAAGTCTACTGCTGACCTATAAAAAAATCTTTTACAGAAATTTTTTTATGATTTGGATAGTATTTATCCTTTTTGTTTGAAAATCTTTTTAAGTAATAATATTTACTATTGTTGCTGTAATTCAATTATGTATTGTTGAATTTTATCGTTTGAAATACTTAGGAATCTAGAATACGTCAACTACAAGCCAAGTTATCTCAATATTCAGCTGCATTAGAAGAACTTCAGGCAAAGTGTTTGTCAAATAATGCTCAGTCTCAAGAATTAGGATCAACTTGTAAAGTGCAGAAGAAGCCACTTTTAAAAATTCCTGTAAATCATTCAAAATCAGTAATATCATCTATTATTCGCCCAAAATCATCAGCTACACGTTCCCACTTGGTTTGTAGACCGAATACACAACATTCTAGTAAAATAATAAAATCAAATTCATTTAATGGTGTCGACTTAACTCATGACAATTGTCCAATATCTACGACTTCTATTTCAACCAATGCTAGAGATCACTATGATTCAAAAGTATCTTCACTTTGGGAGCAAGCTATTAATTCACTGAACTTAGATGGGTCTAGTGCTGTTACTTGTCAACCTGGAGAATATTTAAAGGTAATAAAAATCCGCTTTTATACATTTATCCTTTGAACTGTATTCATTCATTTAAAATTTGGACTGCGTACTGTGTTTGGTAAGGATGCTCGTTATTATATTTAAGTTTATTTGTTTTTCTTTGGGAATGTTTAATTTACCTGCAAAAATATATAGAACAAGATACATACATTGACCAATGGGGGTTTATTAATAAATAGGAAGAAGCGATATAAAATATGAGTTCGTCATAAGCGAATTATTTAAAATATTTCCGATTTCAACATAATATATGGGGCCAAGCAATGTCCTAATCGGATATGTTATCACTTAGCTATTTTGACACAACAATTTTTTTATCATAGTGTATATTTGCCCAGTTTTTTAAACCTTATTTTCTGTTTCTATTTACTGAACCATTTTTCATCGATCAGAATCAGAGTCCAGTGAAATCATTGTGTGGAATTACTGGTGACCAAAACATTTGGAACTCATCTAACCAGCTTACCATCAACACGATAAAATCAAGTATTTCATTTCTTATATATATATATATATATTCTCATTAACATACTCAGACCTATTAGTTCTATTCATAGTACTGTTTTTAGGAATTGTCCCTTAAAAAGTGTTTTAACTTTCGACTGTGACTTATCAGCACGGAACGATTTCAATGTTTGTTTTGGGTTTTACTGCTTGAGAGGTTAAATGTATTTATTATCGATGAGTTTCAAAACTATGATGCAATCGCTATCTGCTCCCTAACCATTTTTAATAACTCTTCAATCATTTTTCAATTTATTTGCATTTCTAAAACTATAAACTTTTATTTAAAGCTTTAAGCTAATAAGCTGAAGGTTAACAGGCAGTCGGTTCCATCTACTTTGTTTTATTCAGTCAAATAATATTAAAAACACACAGTCATATTTTACAATTGATTGATCATTGACCAGTAAAATGTTTGTCTAATCCTTTGTTACTGGATGAATTCTATCAATCAAATTCTAATACGGCCACAAGTTTAAGTGGCTAGACATCACATTCACTATGTTGGGATGCTTAGGGGTTGGAATTCGTCGACAAGAATCCATGAATCTAGCTTATATCCTAGTTGATACTCGTCGTAAGGCTAGGTGATGTGAGATGGAATCCCATAAGTCAGGAGTACGATTTGCCGCCGTATGCCAACTAGGACAAAACCTAGGTTTAGAATTTCCTTCTGACTACCTCCGAATACTGAACACAAGCTTTGGCTTCTCGGAATAACAATGAAAGCTCAGTAAATAAACCATCTACTTCAGAGAACTGTAGCGTTTAGTATTGTTACACCACTATACAATTTGTCCTGATTTTTGGATAGATAATTACTTTAGTCATTCCATTCATTTTTTGTTTAGGCATGTGACGTTAAGATGTTTTTATGATGATATGCATCTGTATACTTCCTTGTGTCTGTCATACCTACAAATGTTGAGTCATGTTTTAACTAAATCGAGCAGACACGTTTGTCATCTTGGCTTGACATTTTTCATCGTCATCCTGGATAAAATAATGCTTGAAATCAATTTTTGCAGCCTAATTCATCCTAAGCTTTTTATTGATGCCATCACCTAAATGGGGTTAGCCTAAGTAAAATATACGAGACGAAACGGAGGTTTTGTATCCACGGTTCATTCCATCGACAATCGTTATAGAGTCAGATCGTTACCATAGAACTCAACAAAACCTATTATTATTCTTCGGACGGATCTCTTTAGGTCTTTTTTTATTTATTGTGTCAAAAAATATTGCTATTGGGGTGACATTCATGACATTTATCTGTGCCATTAATTTACTTTTACTTGAAGTGTGTACCAACGATATTGTCCATAAGAACAATAAAAGCTCCACATCTTAATCATCCAGGTCAGAGGACGAAACTCCAACAAAATCATCCACCCGGGCTACAAATCTCCATCATCTCTATAAATCTTGCTTATAGGTTAGACAATAATAATAGTATAACCGAAAATAGTTAGCTTAATGCTTTTAGAAAATAGCAAATATTTTATGAATGAATTGTATTCTTATAACATACCTGTTCTTAAATATATTCATATAATATAGATCTTGATGATTGTCGCGTACTTTGCTCTGCTGCTAAAGAGCTTTTAAAACAAATTGATGAAGCTGAATTAGAAGAAAATGCTATTCGTCAACGATGGGCTAATAAATTAACTTATATTCATGATGACAGAAAATTGTTGAATAATTTCTCTCTTACCAAGAAAGATGATTCAATATGTAAACATTATAAATCAGATGTGCTTTCATTGTAAGTTATTTATATATATCCTTAAATGAAGAATAATATAAAAATTCAGTTCATTGATTTAAAGACTACTTTCATTCCTTAATTCATCTCAAATTTGAACTTCGCTATATCTATTTTGTTTATTTAACTTTGTAATGATTCAAGCTCTCACTAAATGAGAACTAAAAACTTAGTAACCATATCATACTATAATTAACTACTGATCTACACGAAACTATTTCTCATTAACTTAGTATTGTTTGTTTGGATCTTCCCATCGATGTGTTTAGGACTGCAACTGGTCAGTCTCTAATTGGCATATGTGCATATGTGCAAATAGGACGAAACGCGCGTCCTGGATTCCACTGCTAGCCACTATCCATCTATTTCTCATTAAGTTTAATTTACTTAGAAAATGGTATAGTGAGTGCTAGAATTGAAAGGAACGCAATGATTACTCATTATTTATGTTCATTAATTGGAAAATAATGAACGATATACATGTATATTTGAACTACTTTAGTGTTGAAACCATTTTTCACAATTGAATACTTCCTCAACTAATCAGTTGTCGTGTCGACATAGTTTTTATTGGAAGCCGCGCAAATAATAGCATGATTTATAATCTGTGGCATATTTGATAGAGCTAGACATTTATATCACTCGTTTGGTTAACCAGATCTACGAATTGGTAAAGGGTAGTATATAACTACTATTCACTCCTTTCAGTATTATATACACAAAAGGTTTATTTGAAGCCAAACTTTGTAAAAGTCAATAAAGCCGTTCTTTGTTGATTTCAATGATTAGTTTTACTAAAGTTTCTTGGTTTGTGTTTTTTGAACTACGTTATTAATTAGCGTATTCGGTAAAATGGTTTTAGTGGATGACCATATCGATGTTCATATATTAGACTGTCATCATGCATATAATGTGCAAGTGAGCAATACTAAATTTGTTTTTCTGACCCCAGATGTAGGAAATAATATTTAGGTGAATGAGAAAGTGACCAGTAATCATATATTGAAACTGCCCATCCACAGATGTACTCAAAGTAAAAAAAACAGTACACGAGAGAGTACATGAGAGTTGAAACTATTGACTACAAATAAATCCACAATGTCCTTGGAAGTAGGGTGAAAAATTAGCATATTAAAAAAACAACAAACGAATAAGTAAAAAGGGGTCTTTGTTCATATTGATGTGAAGAATGGCTCCAATAGTGAATATCTGAAATGAGAACTTAAATTTTTGTGAAATAACAAAATGGTGAGTAAATAAGTGGTTTTTGGAGAATTTAAACATTTCTCATAGTTTATTCAATTCAAAGATTCGAATAGATTATTGGAGGTGAAGTTGTCTGCAACTGTTTTTTTATGTGTCCAGTGTAGCAGCAGAGCCTGATATCGTTAAGGGATAATCCAAATACATTGAAGGTTAGGGCTTAAAAGGGAATCTTTAATGAAACATACACTGCAGTATGCAGTACCTACCTACTAAGTGAGTGAGAATATGACTAAGAGTTCTGGCTACGACGTAATTAGTGGACATCAAAACGTTGTAAATAACCTCAGCCATTACTTTTCACTGTTAATTTTATTTAGTACTAAGCTATACTTTTTGATGTTTTTTTTATTCCATTCCTCAAAAGACCAAGTGATAAATCTCTATTGCAACCAAATGACAAGTCACTTATCCGTTCTGATACTTCTACGTTTCAATTTCCAAAAGTAATTGTTCGTTTATTTTAAATTGAAATTCAGTTTTATTATATATCTGATCCAGAATGTAATTATTTACACTGATTGATCACTGAATATTAATCAATGATATGCATTTATTACTTGATACTAATTGTATTCTATCTATTAAGTTTGAATATGGCCACAAGTCCAAGTGATTTGTTACTTTGTGTTCTATGCTTAAAAACAATCAGTAGGAAACTCTAAGGTGTAGATTCCGGGCTAGTTGGTACTTATCAGTGAGGCGTACCTGTAACATTGATGGGACTAATGCTGCCTGCGGAGTCCAAAACCATGGCATTCAATGTTACAGTCAGTCAGCAACTGTTCTCCAAAATCAGCACAAAGAATTGGAGATCTATGAAATTTGATACTACTCAGTTATCGATCAGTTTAAAAATCTCAATTCTGCTGGAGATTAGCCGTAACCTGAATAGCTCAACGGCATCATCTTTAGGATGTGATATGAGATAAAAATTTCATGAGAAGCATCATTTCTGCGAAGATTGTATACACAATCTGTTGATTAGTACCAACTAGCATGAAACCTAAATCTACCAGGGCTTCCCTCCTATTCCCTTCAACTACCTAACACCTAAATGGAGATGTTAAAATTAAAGTTTAATGTTTTAGTTGATTTCAATTCGAAATCAAACCAACCCATCAAAAGATAGATCACTGCATAAATTACGCAGGTTGTGTATCACGAAGATAACACATCAAGTAGTACATGTATTGTACTTATAAATTATTCACTTTGAAATGCTTAAATTAACAAACTTTCTATTTTTATTTACCCCTAAAAAATGAATATTTATACTTATTTAATTCATGCATGCTGAGGGTCTATGGTCAAACTGACATCCACTCCAACGTCAATTCTTACAACTCATTAGTAGATAGTAAACTCAATTTCATATCCACAGTCTATCAATTCAAATCCAATCATAGTTAAGATTTCTTTTCACTTTCAACAAACTTAAGCAAACATAATACAAACTAATAAATAATAGCTTTTAAATATTTCTTCAAAATGTTGTATTAACAGAATATACAATTATTTATTTCATATCTATACACGTTAAGTAATTTCGTACTCACTCTTGACTCTTAGTCTTCCGTGTCACAATTGTGTTGACTTACAAATTACGTTGTGTGGTCAACTCTTAATATTATTGAAATATCATTTACTTAGTATATTTTTAATGTTAATACATCTTTGGATAGTACTGTACCTCCATACTAGGTGTAATATTATGTTTCGCCAACAAGACAGATACTAAATTTTCTCATGCTTTCTACTAATAAAAATACTAAATCTCCACAAAACCCCTTCTGATAATTAAGATACTAAATTATTCGGCGAGACTACAATCTATGGACGAACGAATCAGATTTAGGATAACAGGTCTTGGATTTTGGCGCAAATCCATTCACCCGTTAAACTAAATATTTTTTTGACATTTTAGCTGATGTCAGTTCGTGATGAAAACCATGAATCTAATTCCTAATCCTAACTGTCAATTGTAAATCATAATCCTTATTCTTCAAACTATTTTATAACCCTCATTTATCTCTAATAAGTAGATGGGCATTCTCAAGGTCACTTTAGCGTCACTCAAAGGCCGTCCATAAGTTATAGTCTCACCAATTATTCCATATCACTTTATGTATTATGAGTTAATTCATTTAGCTAGAATATTATTCTAATCACAGTTGTATAAAAAAACTTTTGAGACAAAGGCAATCCGAATTTCGAAGTGTTTGTTAGTTTTTCGTATAGTTATTTTTTTCATGTACTAAGTTTTAGTGTGTAGTTCTATGTCAAGCCCACACAGGTCATCGTAACTTCCGGACACACTGATTTATTGACTTCTTTCATGTCACATTTCGGCTTTTTCAATTATCAACTTGTTAACCATGACTGTTTTTAAATGAGCTAATGTGTGCTAATTGCTCACCCTATTCATTACGTGTCTGTAGCTTGTTTTGGCTTGACTATGAGTATTGAGTCACACTTGATCAGATCAAGTTAGCTCCCTCACCTTTTCCGCTTCTCTTCGTTTCCTATATTTCCGATGAGATTCTCCGCTTCGTTCTCTCCTTTTCGCCTTCTCCATTTTGTTTCTTTGCTTGTCTTTCTGGATCAGCGAGTTTACGAAATATCCGTATTCATAATTCATCGTCATCTTCATTCATCCTCATTCCGTTATTCTCTAACGTGAATTAAATTGATGATTATGTACGAAGGTTGGGATGTGTATCTCGATAACATCATTCGTATGTTCAAACCCCAGTCAGATACTGGGCCTCGAAAAAGTAACTAATGTTCCTCATTAAGCTGTGAAAAGTTGTTTTTATTGTATACCTTTTTTGTAAGAATAAATACAACCAGATAGTAGAATTTTAGAGTTTCACTTAATAAAGGAGATCAATAAATGAACGTTGTCTAACAACTGTTAAATATATCAACTTGTACTTGGGGAATGAGATATATTATCGTTAATTACTTGATTCAATTAGTTATTTGTAAACAACATAGCACTGGGGTTATATTTGGCTCAGTTCAAGTTACCACAACAAGATGGAGTTATTAAAATAAATGTCAGTCTTAGAAATATTACTGTGGTGTGTGCTACTTACGCTGGCAGATATAAGTAATATGTATCGCCAGTCTGAAGTAGAATGTCCACTAGCAGAAGAGTGAGTTGAAAGGAACAGGAAGGGAGATGAAAAGCAATTGTAATAACAACAAAATTGGAAGAATCATGAAGCTTATGAAGAAAAACTGCCGGAAGAAATGTAAATAATGTATTTAGTGTGTGGTTTTCATATTTTGTAAAAGGACCCTGTAGATTCGCATTAAACAATGAATTAGTTTTCGTTACCAAGTATTCATTCACTACAGCAGTAGTATCAAAAATAGTAGAAAACATTAGACGTAAACATTGATTTAAAAAGACAAAATGATCTAAGGGTAAACAAAGACAGGATGCACCTAAGCTATTACCACTGATTTTGAGCTAGGTCATTCAACGTCTCTAATTGTTGTTTACAATAATCCTATAAACCTGAACCTGGTAGTCTACGCCTACCTATACGGCTGTCTAACAATCGTTAAATCCATGATCTGATGACATATCATGATTTGGCCATACCTAGTATTCATCCAGCCAGCAAACATCACATATCAATGTAGGTGTGGATTATGCGTACATAATACATTTCTCAATCACGTGAGTCGATGAAAATTCATCAATTCATCAACTAATTTGTCACGGTTACACTAATCATTCTGTTGAACTAAAAATTTACCACAAACTAAAACTCTTTAACAGTTATTTAATATCAGAACCATCTTTCTTCATGAGACATCGTTAAAACAATAATTTATCTTTATTTTGTATTCAAACATAAGATATTTACCCTCAATATATTCTTTTAACTTTCTTAATATGTCTTCTTTCCACTTTATTTTTCATCAAAGTTTTTCAAGTTTTCTGTTTTTTTTAAAGTGTGAAACTAACCGACATATTTAAAAAAAAATTATTTTCTTACTTTCTTTTATCTTCAGAGTTTTAATTATCCTATTTACACTCGGAGTATGTACAAGTATTATCCAAATATAATATACAATGTTTAAATTTATACAAAAATGCAAAAATGAATAATTTTCTCTCTTTATTCTTATTATTTATAATTCATTATTCGTTTTTTTTCAAATTAAATAAACACTGTTTAATGTGTGTTACCATATGAACTAATTGTATAATGATTATTGATCGATTATCAAAATATAATTTGTTTTATATGCTTTTATTCTTGTAATTACCAAGTTTTAGTCCTTCTTTTTTCCTCTTCTTCTGTTCTTGTTAGATCGTTTATATCACTATGGTTTTAATGATAATAATAATAATAATAATAGTAAATATTGCGTCAATTTATATTGTATTGTTAAAATGATAATCATAAAATACTACTCATTAGTATTATATAATTGACCGATTTAATTCAGTTTATACAAGTTATTTATTAACATTTAATATCAGTTTTGATTAGGATAAATATTTCATGACTGTTTACTGTGTTAATGAAATCATCTAATCCATTCATTTGTAATGTTGTAAGCAACATTAACATGTTTTTAGTTTGATTGTAATTAATGAAGGGAAATTTTTTTAATTATTTGTTTTCTTTTTAAAGTATATGTACATTGTATTTCTTTTTTCTTTATATACTACTCATAATAGAAATACTTTTTTAATCATCATTGTTTATTTAAATCAAGTTAGTAACAATATTAATGGTGATAATAATAATGAATTTTGTTTATTTACATCATTGTTTTTAATTAATTTTTTCTGTACTTAGAAACTATTTTCAAATTCAAATAATGTTTCGTAATTTTTTTGAATTTACCGCAAAATAAAACATTTCTGTTCTACACATTGATTTGATTTTTTTTTTTAAATTTTGTTAAAACTTGTCGGTGCATTTAAGTTTTTGTTTTTCTTAATTTTGAAATTTATTTTAATGAAAACAAATCCATTCTCAGTATGTTATGATTTATTTATTTACTTTTAATGTCATGACAACTATTAAGAGCTGTTTTTTCTTATTGATCTTTAATTTATAACTGAATTTTGTTTGATTTTAAGCTTATTTCTCAAAATAACTAAGTCATTTCAAAAATTACATTTGGTGAAGTGTCGCTCATAATTCGTGGATCAGTTGAAGTTAGACATTAACACCGTTGGATGCCGGCTCAGTGGTCTATCGGTTAAGGGCTCTGGCTCGTAACTGATAGGTCCTGGGTTCGAACCTCGCGAGGTGGGATCGTGGGTGCACACTGCTGAGGAGTCCCATAATAGGACGAAACGGCCGTCCAGTGCTTCCAGGTTTTCGATGGTGGTCTAGCTTCAATTGACTCATGATTTCAACTTTGAAATTACATTTTAATTAAGCATAAATTTATATATATTTTAAATAAAGCTTAAGTTTTGTTTAATGGTTTCAACGTTTTATAATCGTAGAAATAACTTTAAATGACTATGGGTGAAACAAGGAGGGAATATTGTAAATTTGAGTTCCTTCTTCTCAAGTACAACAATGAAGCTGTGTGATTTATGATGAAAAGATTTCAGTTTATAAAATATTCACAATTTTATTGTTCTACTAATATGAATGTTTAATAAATGATAAATTATGAACACAGTATGTGATGCACTGTATTAAAAAAAATATTATCAGAACGGGTTTTGTGGATATTATAGTAATTTTAATAGTTGAGATCGTGGATGCGCACTGCTGAGGAGTCCCATAATAGGACGAAACGGCCGTCCAGTGCTTCCAGATTTTCCATTGTCTAGCTTCAATCGATTCACGATCTCATCTATTAAGATTACCATAATATCCACAAAACCCCTTCTGATGATAATCAACATATGCTCACCAGAGACTGGCTCCATGAGGTATTTCTTGGAGTTCTAGTGAGAAGCAGTGACCAGTGGAGTTCAACCAGGTCTGTTATGTGATAGTAATTCACTGAAGACATTGGTAAATGTGTCGCTCAATTTCGCGGATCAGTTGAAATCGGACATTAACACCGTTGGATGCTGGCTCAGTGGTCTAGTGTTTAAGAGCTCGCGCGCGAGTCTGATAGGTCTTGGGTTCGAACCTCGCGAGGTGGGATCGTGGATGCGCACTGCTGAGGGGTCTCATGATAGGATGAAAAGGTCGTTCAGTGCTTCCAGGTTTTTTATGGTGGTCTAACTTCAATTGGTTCACGATCTTAACTATTAAAATTAAAAATATGCTGATTATGCGAATATCAATTCTGTTTTCAAGCCAAATCATACACTAATTGTAATCTCAGGACTGCATGATGTTAGTCTGGCTGTAAAAGATCTGATGCTTAATAAATTAATGAAAGAAGTTCACGGTTTTGAAACACTGATATAAGTATCATAAAAATGTTTTATAAATGTTGCTTGATCGGATTTCACATAACATATGTTTTACTCTAGTGCTGGTTGGAAAAGTGGAGAGGTAATTAGTTTGTAACATGGTCTATAAGTTTGAAAGGTAGTTGTATAAAACTGTCATCTATTGGTCCTCCAATTGAGGTCTCGTAGACCATGCAACTCAGCAGTAAGTTGAGATGTTATCACAAATGACTCAGAACAGAGGTTATTGGTGATCATACTGTAGCTTTCTATTACAGTTTTTATAAAAGTAGGATAAACTCTATCCGAAAAATTTTAAGTGTCACTACCAAGATTTGGCATGACCATTTCAAATAAGTAGATTATTTAGACTAAATCCTCAACC